CAACATATCAAACAGCTTTACAAATTCTTCTCCTTGATTTTGACCTTAAGACATCTCTTTGTTTAGTGCATCAAGTACTGTGAAGACTTTTCTAAGATAACCAGGCTAAGTTGCCTATAAGTAATGACACTTCCTTACAGGCAATGCTAGTAAACCAGCAGTGCTAGGTATTGAAACCTAGAAGTGTAGTAAATATGAATGAGATTTAGATCTTCAAAGTTTTCTTTTCTTCAGTCCTCTATATTTTCATCATGCATTTGTGTTTCTGTTGTGCTAAAATTGTAGCAGCTTTTGTATAGGGGACCAGTATTTTCATTAAAGTATTATACTGTGTTCCTATAAATCAGTGGTTTGCTGTGGTCTCTGCACCTCTGGAGATTCCTCAGTCTCATTTTCAGGAGGCTCAAGAGCTCAGACTGCTCTTACAATCATGAAGAATTTACTGATTTTTTTGACTGTTGGTCACTTGTTATGCTCGTATAAAGGTAAAAGCAAAACTTGCAATTTCTTAATGTGAACCAAGCCTATGGCACCAAGTTACATCAGAGGTCATTGTATTTTTCATTGCCCCTTGCAGTTTTATTTAAAAACTTTTTTATAATTGCCCATGATGAAACAGCAAAGAATAATGTTGGTCAATCTTGGATCATCTTTTTGGTATTATGAATAAATGAAAAGTTCACATAAAGCATTTCTGCATACTGAAGTATGTTCTCAGAACTTCACTTCTGATTTAGTTGTGAGTTTGACAGTCTTTTTATCATAGAACTTTACTTTTACATGAAACAAGATATATCAATAGAGAACATCGTGGGCCTTCAAGGAAAGTGAAGAAATAGTTGTTGTCAATGTCAAATTCAAGCAGTGAATCTAAAACTTTGAGATTTATGGAAAATGTATACCTTCAAATCTGCCTATGACAGACTCTCAGTATCTCCAAGACTTTTTGCTTAGACTGGTGATGATAATAACAAAAGTGTTCTGGATGTTGTAAAAAATCTGAACTGGTAATTTCAAAGCTCACTGATGTTTATTATGAATCATGTACTGATAAAAGAATTGCTCACTGTGAAAGACACACCATTAAGTGTTATTTTGTAGCAATTTCAGAGACACCATGTAAAATTCCATTATACCTAACTTAAGAAACAAATGGTTGCAGTGTTTGCTGTAAAGTAAAAGACTATCCATAATGATCTGTATTTTAAAAACATATTTATGTCCAAAGATATACAACTATGTGATTGGTTATTCTTCTGATTGTTTCTTACAAAAGATCTGTCGATGAATCAAGAAAAAGGTGAATTTAATTGTGTTCTATTCAGTCAAATGAGGACTTGTACATCAGTGTAAATAGAGATACATTTTTCACCCAATGTAGAAAGGGAACAGAAATGTCAAAGAGTTATAAAAGATAGTTATTTTTGTTATGTGTGTTAACAATGTGGTTTTTAATGGGAGTGATCTTCTCCAACAGTAGACAAGATGAGGGAGAAAGCGACTGGCATCTACTAGGCAGAGGACAGCAGTCCTGTAACACATCCTGCACTGCATAGGACAGCCCCCACAACAAACAGTACCTGGCTTAAAATGTCAGTAGATCCACGATCAAGAAATGCTGTTAACACCTCCTGCCTGCACACACACAGGCACACACAAACACATATGCATTTAACTCTGTTTTAGTTTCTAAACAGAACACATCAAAATAATCTATGGAAGCAAATATCCTTTGTGATCTTTAAGAGAATATTTTTCAACAGACCTAATTGCAATAACAAGAAACCTGAAATGACTTGCTTCCATCTATTACTAAAAGCACAGTACAACCTCTGATGTTTGCAGCCAGGGCCTGATAATATATAGGTATTCTGTAAATTAAGTTGAAGTATAAGGCAAGTTTTTAAGAGCTCACCTGTATTTTATGTGGTAATATACTGCCAACGTCATACTGTGGGAAGGAAAAAAATATATGTAATAACCAAGTTTATTGGTGAAATTGAAGACAAATTTGCAAGGGGAAACTTCTCATAGACTTGTCTTCCAGTTTCAGAACAGTATCATATGGGCACTTGCCCCTGTTTCATTCAACTTGCTTATAGTAGACAGATGTCAAATGTTATGCAATGTGACATCAGGACATCTTCTTTTAACTGTCCATTATTATGTTTTTCTCTGTCATTTGTGTTTCTACCCATATAACCTCTTTCCCTGGACAAATTCTACATATCTGCCCATATACTTAAAACTAAACCACATAATATTTTTTTAAAACTTTGAAGCCCGTGCATTTATTTTAGTTGACTTATTCATTATTCACCTGACCATAATTTTCATTATTTCTCTGAAAGTAAATTATAAAAGTGCTGTATTGCAAAATGAAAATCATTCCTCCAGGGCAAGAAAAAATTTTGTAGTAAATACAAGTGGCCACCAAAGTGATAATACTTCTTTTATGCTGAAAAATCAGTGATAGTAATGCAGCCTACATCTGTACAGTACAATATTCATGGGAAATATTTCCAAATTAGTTTAAATAAAGTATTAATATGCAGACACAACCCTTCAGATAATATGTTGCTGTATCGGTAAATTATGCATAGGTGCTGTTTATTAGGGTACAAAGGGATTCCCTTGAGTGAGTTATATGCTTTGATTTGCTCTCATTGTTTAAAAGGAAGCTTAACATCATCAAGGGAAGACAAACTGAATTTTAAAAGAAGTCCAGAATGTGTTTAAAATTTAAAGTCTCACATCATATGCATCAGGGATGCACATTTTTATAGTATTTCAAACAGGTTATCTCCAAATTGAGTTTAATCACAGACTGACCATCATACATTGAAAAGGTTCACCAAAACTTATTAGAAATTTCATCTAACAACCAACTGTTACAGATAAGGGAGCCAAAGCTTGTCCAAAATCCCACCAAATAGTCAGAAGCAATTCTTTTCCTATATAGTATTCTCTGGATCAGTAGTTCCCAAACTTTCCTGCACACTGGAATCCCCCAAGGAGCTTTACAATGATCCTTAATTCCAACTTGAGACATTATGATTCAGTGGCACAGGGAAGAATTTGGTACAAAGAGTGTTTGACAAGTTCCCCCAGGTGATTCCACTATGCAACAATGTTTGTGAATGACGTACCAGTTAAATGTCACAATCATTGGGCATGCATTATGTACATTACGACAGGTAAACTTCATCCTTGATTTCCTAAAGTGCTATGAGGACCCACGAATCAAAGGTAAGATGAAAGTGGGGAAAATGCATGTGTTTCCAGACATATATTTTGATAAATTTACATAAGTGATTCTAACAAAGTTTATACATTTTATTAAGAACAATTCGGGTAGAGCAAAGTGGCACAATGATTGCCTGGCAAGCACAACATCCTGAGTTTGATTCCTAGTACAAAAAGAAAAAAAGAAAGAAGAATGCACTATTACCCTATGATAAACATCTCAAAGCCTTTAGAGATGCCTAATGGGCCAATGCACTCTAAAAACGAAACCTGAAAACCAAAGGGACATTAGCAATGTTCTATAAACCACCTCAATTCAGAATAGAAATTTTGAACCTGAATTTTGATGTTGGTATTTTAATAAGCTTGAAAGATTCCTATCAGGGCGTTTTCCTCCTGCATCTATGATTATGACCCCATAGGTATGGGAAAGGGTACTGTAGGTAGGGAAAGAATAAAATAGGGGACTCCTTAGGTTTTCTGGCTAATCCTAAATAGAAGGAGTTAAAACTCTCCTGGAAAAATTTCCCTTGGCAATAATGTGAAGGAAAAGGGTAGTGAAAAAACAAAACAAAAAGGCACCAAATGGCTTAGGGGCTTGCGCCCAAAACCAGAGAAAGAGCTGACAAGCAGAGCACAAAGAAAGTCTTGTGCACAGAACCAAGGTAACCTTCCTTTTGTACTTCCAATAGAATTCAGGGAAGCAGACTGGGAAGGAGGAGTGACTAACTCTGGGGGAAAACTTGTGTGTGTTCACACCTATGCACTAGCACACACACATACACATATGTGTTCACTCTAGGGTCAGCATGTTGTCCACTCTAGGAGCACTATATCACTACAATAGACACACACACACATCTCCTTACTAACTCAAATGTAACGATGAATAAGGCATCTCTTTGTCAACCAGCTGTCCACCTTGGAGAAAAGGCCCTCTCAAGGACAAATAGAAGTTACACAAAGCCCTCCAAAGCAATGACATAGGCAAGTGGACCTGGTCCAATACAAATAAATCCCTCGGAACCAAGAGGGCTATGGTAAGTTCTAGGCAGCGCATAGGGTCCTTGGTACACAATAAAGGTATCCAGGAACAAAGGCCTATGGATCTTCCATCTTTTGGGGGCTCCCTGCCCTAACTTTGTCAGGGTGGCTATTTTCTCCCTTTCTATTGAAACATGCTTTCAAAACTTTGTATCTTGAATTTGTTATGGTATTGAGTTTATAATCCAGGTGAGCCGCTCACCCCAGTGCAGTGGTGCTCACACAGCACATGAGGTGACACTGCACATGTATTATGGCAAACATTCAAATGCTGGTAACTGGGGTGTCAACAGAGGAAAAGCGATTCTTTTTTCCAAGGGTCATTTCTAAATTGTTAAAAACTGTAACTCATAGAGAACTATCTTTTCTAGAAATATCCAAATAGAAAGCACCTGTTCTCTTTACATTTAACAGTGTCTTGCATCATCCATGTATACTCTAAAGAGGCACACTTTTCATGGGATTCTTTAGTTGCTAACTCGTGTTCCCTTCTACCATGAGTAGATTAAAATACAAATGGGAAATTCACAGTTAGGCCTTTAAACTCAATATAGATGTTTTGCTCCAATATATGAAAGTGGGCAAGGAAGAGAATAATCATATGGCTGAATTTACCCAACATGGCTGGAATGTTTTAGCAGTAGGGGACCTGTCACTCAGGCCTCTGCAGCATCCCTGTACTCACCATTGTACTATGTTTCTATGATTAGGCTTGCTGAGTGTGCTTTCATCCATCCATATTGAGGAGCAGGAGCTGTACTTCCTCTTATGCTGACAGTAGAAGAAATTGTCACAGTAAGTTAGACTCCCAAATGTTGGGGCTGTTTCCTTGATTAAAATGTCAAGTGACAAACCATGAAGGTATTTCTTACACTGCATGAAAGGTCTGAGAGCAGTGTCATGCATATGGGTCTGCAAATGTTACTGCGGGAGGCTGTTTATTTTCAGGGGTGTTGGAGGAGTAGGTTGTAAAATATAGCCCTTATTATGCTACCTGTTTTCAAATCTGACAAGCGTTTAGTATACATCATTTTATAAATATTATAAAAAGTTTAAAATAAGATTTTGGACTTTTAGCAAGAAAAACAGCTAAGATTTTCTATTTCTACTGTTAGTAACTAGAATAAAATGTAATGCCTTGCATAATATTGACACAGTATTAACAGTATAGTACAACAAACAAAAGCTTAACACTTAATTGATTAACTGACACTAAGTGTGTTAATGTGATAAGACAAATATTTCACAGTCAAAGCACTGTGTCAGGGATGCTCAGTCACTAACAAGCCAGGGCCATAGGTCACCTGGGCCTGTACCCTTACCAAGGATATACAAGTACTATTTGAAGATTCCCTCACATCTAAAATACAGGACAAGAACAACTTTGAGAACTGAACATTCAGTTATTTTCTGGGTGGATTTCCATTACATCACTTTGTGGAAAGCCTCAGACACTCAAGATTACATGTAATTCTCTAAAGCTATCTGACACTTATCAGGACACATTTCTGCCTCATTCATGCTGTTCGCTGCCTGAGAAGCATTTTTCGGTGTTCATGTCCTACAGATTTGATCCCTTCTACATTCTGGAATACTTCTGCCAACAGCTGCATCATAAAACATTTCTCTGAAAGTGTTCCAGTGACAGTGTAAGAGATTGAGCATATTTAATTTTTTCCTCAGCATGGGAAAGACCTTAAAGCATGACCCATTTTGTATACCTATATGACCATTCTGAGATGGTCATATAACTATATGACCATTCTGAGATGGTTAGACAACCTGTCTGGTGATATCAACAACACACAGCACATCTGGGTGAGTACAACTGGTCAACAGGTGAATTCAGGTCAAGAATTTAAGAATGAAACTGTCCATGCCCCATTTTCCCATTTTTAAAGATAACTAGAATAGCAAAAAAATTCAGAAACATTTCTAAGTGATGCTTAATCATAAAATTTAAAAGAAAAAAAAATTTACCACACTAAATGTCTATCATTCTGGCTTATGTATGCCTATAGTACACACAATATATACTGTAACAGACATTATTTTTTGACATACACTTATCTAATATGCAGTAATGTCAATCACTTAACCTTGAAAACAACTTCACTCATGAAATGGAAAGCAATTATTCTTTGCTGTAAGTGAGTAGTAGTAGTCCATTACCATAAAGTTTCAAACAGATTCATGAATTCACACTTAACAACAAAGTTAGGAAGACAAAAATACTTATACTACCAAAGCTGATCTTTTTGGTAATTACAGAACCTGCTGAACATCTGAGAAAAAAAGACCAAAGTGATACCTCTTTTGTCAAAAACTAAAACTGGGGAAGTCTGGAGACAATGAGGTATTCCCATTTTAAAACTGCAATAATAAAAATAAATCGTATTTTAAAAATTAATGTGACATTTACAAAGTATATTCATGCATCATTTTTCTTCCTCTTTAGTTCACTTTGTCCAGCTCAGACTGTCCCAATTTTCTTTCTGTGCTGCCACACTAAAATATATTAATATGTTGAATTATGTAGGTTTCCCCTGACAAATCTCAACCATTAGAGCTACATCCACATGCTCCACCAACCTTCCTCGTAAGTATTTCAAGAACTTTCATCTATTTTTAGTTTTATAAAAAGCCTATCCAGATGAGATGTCACGGCACATGTGTGTGTCTGTGTGTATTTTGTGTGCACAAGTCAGCCAGAACCATGTAACAGTGTGCAACCAGAGAGACAGAAGACATGCAAACAAACTTACACAGTAGTCCAAGTAACCCTAAAAGTCTTAGATATCCAGACACTGAATTATCCTCTCAAAATAATCTCACCACTGAGCAATGAGATAATGAGGGGATCTGTCACCACACTAACAATCAGTGAAAGTTTTGGCAAATGAACACTAAAGCAGAATGTTGTGACACTACCATTACAATGATAATGGAAGACACAGAGTGGAAATAGTCACTGATCAAGGAACTGTGGGTTGGAATCCCTGTGACCTTAGAATCTTTCTAGAGGGCATTTGCATTGGCAGTGGAGTGTTGCTGGTTCTTGTGAAACCTTCAGACCATCTTTTCTATTATACTCCTCCACAATGTTTGGCTTTTTAGTGGTAATCTTTCAGCAAGCAAATTGTCTTTCCATGTTTGTAAGACACAGCTTTACTGGCGCTTTCTTTCTGGACAAACTCAAAACATTTTAAATATTCTTTTGGGCCATTTGCTCTCAACATAGATCTGGATGAAAGCCCTCAACAGTAACCATGCCACTACCTTAACATTGAACTGCCGTGAAATTTCTTCAACCAGGTTAATTTGATTTCAGCCTTTGACAAAGCCTTTGGATATGAGCAAAATGCAAACTAATTTTCTGCAAATGTAACACACACACACACAGACACACATTTTACATTTCCTATTACACTCCCACTAGCGAGTTTTGAAACTGTTTTTTTTTTTCACTTTTAATAAAAAATACACAGCTGGTATCTCTAGCCCTTTCCAAATGATCTTACAAGCCACTTATAAAGGCTTCTGAACCATATGGTCAGGTAGCAGCAGCACAGCAATAAACCCACCACCAGCACCAAACTCTGTGTTAGTTACTTTCTCTTCACTGGGAGAAATCACCTGACATCTACAAGTTAAAGGAATCCTTAATCTATTGGAGATACATACTTTTAAGGGTCCAAGTTAATAGCATTATATGTATTTAATTTAAATACATTTGGTTATTGCTTACACTAGACGTTTCTTCAAACCCTCTAGTGCTTATAGTCTAGAGACTTCTGAGGAGGTCACTGAATCATGGGTGTGTGATATTGAATTAGTTCACTGAATGGTTTAGCATAGTTCTGTGTGGATAATTAGCATAGTTCTGGGTGTGAATGCTGGGCTTAGTGGAGAGAGAAGATGCACCTGGGTTTGGGTGGCACCAACCGAGAGGCTTATAGCCTGAATGAAATAAAAACTGAAAGGAGGAAGAAGTCTTGCTGCTTCTTACCTGCCATTCCATGCAGTGTATGTCCGCTCTCAGGTTCCTCTGCCATGACTTCTTGCTTTGGAGCCAGATGACTGTGGACTAAAACTTCTACAAAATGTGAGCTAAAAGACACCTTACCTCGTTTAACTTGTGGGTGTTGAGTATTTTGTCCCAGCAATAAATAGGTAACTGAGACACACTTACACTTGAACTGCAAGTTTTAATTAAGTTTAAAATGGTGGATTGATTGAACATGCAGCTAGTTCAACTTGCTCCTGAAATATTATTTGAATTAAAGGATAAAATAAATGTTACACATGAGACCTGGAGCCCGAAAGGACATAGTTTTTGATGTGTGAAAACTGTAAGGTAAATACTGTTCACTCACATGGCAAAATATTAGGACACTCAGAGGCACAGAGCACTTTGGCATAAAATGTGAAGCAGAGGCCATGAAAAACCATAGGAAATGAATGTAGAGCCATTGTACACCTGTCCTCCATCTCTGCAGGTGCTATGCAGATATTATATTCTATAGACATTAAACCTTAGAGATATCAAGTACATCATGGCTGAGACCTAGACATTAGTGGAGGAAACACTGTATGATGAACAGTTTCTGGAAAGCAGGCAGCTTTGATTGTATTCCTCAGGTAGAGGGTGAGGAGGTTTTCTCTGATATCAGGCTGTCCAAGAGATTTGGCCCCTAGTTGTTGCCCAAAGCCCTGTGAAGGAAAACCTGATTTCACTGCCAAATTCTCACAGTGGTGCCCACTAGTTAAATGAAAGTTTTGCTCACATACAATATTTCAGTCCAGGGAATGCCAGGGTCACCCATGTATTTCAGGGAATCCTCTGACAAGAGAGATCATTGTAACAGGAACAAAGGAATTTGTGGGAGTGCTAGAAATTCAGGAGCAAATTAGAAGTTTAAAAGTATTTCAATACCAGGTTGAAAAAGTTCAATTCAAGGAATAACTAATGTTTAATCAGAGCCAAAGGAAAAAGTAGAAAATGGAAAGAGGATGGAAATTGGACATTAGTGAAGAAGTACGAGTCTGAAAAACACAATATTTGAATAAACAAAGTATAAGAAAAACTAGAGAAAATATCAAGGACTTTAAAAGAAGAGGGAGTTTTCAGACTTTAAAGACCACTCCAATGAGATGAAAAAGTCAATAACAAACCCTTGTGTTCTTTCAGCATCCCTAAGATAGAGAAGCCTTTAAAAGCTTCCAGAGAAAATAAATAACTTCATGGTACACCTCAAACAGCTAGAAAAAGAAGAGCAAGTCAAGCCCAAAGCCAAAAGAAGAGAGGAAATTATAAAAATCAGAGCACAAATCAATGCAATAGAGACTAAGAAAACAATCCAAAGAATCAACGAATCAAAGAGTTGGTTCTTTGAAAGAATAAATAAAATCGATAAGCCCCTAGCCAACCTTATTTTAAAAAGGGGAGAAAAAGCTCAAATTCATGAATAAGAAATGAAAAAGGAGAAATCACTACAGACCCAATAGAAATACAGAAGATCATCAACACCTATTTCGAAAACCTCTACTCTCAAAAGTTTGATAACACAGAAGAAATAGACAGATTCTTAGAAGCATATGAAGTGCCAAAGCTAGATCAAGAGGATGTAAAACTGTTGAATAACCCAATCTCTGTTAATGAAATTGAAAATGTAATTAAGTCCTTACCCACCAAGAAGAGCCCAGGCCCAGATGGATTCACTGCAGAATTCTACAAGAAATACAAAGAAGACCTAATGCCGACACTCCTCAAACTATTCAATGAAATTGAAAGGGAAGCAATCCTTCCTAAGTCATTCCTGGAAGCAAATATTACTCTAGTACCAAAGCCTGAGAAAGACCCAACTAAAAAAGAGAACTATAGACCGATCTCCCTAATGAACACAGATGCAAAAATCCTCAATAAAATATTGGCAAATAGGATCCAGCAAATCATCAAGAAGATTATACACCATGACCAAGTGGGATTCATCCCAGGAATGCAAGGATGGTTCACCATACGCAAATCAATAAATGTAATCCACCATATCAATAAAGCCAAAAATAAGAATCACATGATCATTTCTATAGATGCAGAAAAAGCCTTCGATAAGGTCCAACATTTATTCATGATAAAAACTTTACAGAAAATTGGAATAGATAGTCTTTACCTCAATATAATAAAGGCCATTTATGACAAACCAACAGCCAGCATCATACTAAATGGCCAAAAATTGAAAGCCTTTACTTTAAAATCAGGCACAAGACAAGGATGTCCTTTATCACCACTCCTATTTAATATAGTACTGGAAGTACTAGCCAGAGCAATTAGGCAAGAGAGAGAAATAAAAGGGGTAAAGATAAGAAAAGAAGAAGTTAAGTTGTCATTGTTTGCAGATGACATGATACTCTAGATAGAAGACCCCCTAAACTCCGTTGAAAGACTCTTAGATACAATAAATAAATTCAGTAATGTGGCTGGATACAAAATCAATACTCAGAAATCAATATCATTCCTATACACAAACAACAAAACCACAGAGAGGGAAATAAGGGA